TTTCTTTTCTTGCATTTTCTCACTCATACATTCTTGTCTAGAGACTGTTGCGAATAGTGATTTATTATAAAATATAGAAAAAATTCTCTTCTTGGAAAGATTTATGAGGCTGTACATAAATAGTGAAGAAAAACTTGGTAAAATGTATGTAATAGGTTTAAATTGTGGGGCTGTAACAGTCATTTTTATTATGAGTGAGTGGATATGCAAATTATCCATTATCTCCACTTGTGTTTTCCAGTTGGCCTGAGACGTTCAAATCTAAATAGCGCTCACAATTGTTGTTTATTTCACGTGAAACTTTTACACTATGTTCGTCAATTGCTGAACAAATGTACGTCCGGGTGTTTATATAATGTTTTTATTTTTATTTTACATACATGTATTATAATGTTATCAAGCAAGGTTATCAAGGTTGCTTACCACCTCTCACAAGAAGGGGTCCGCGGGCATGCTCCTCTGGAACAATTGAAATCTAGACCTTCTGAAACGCTATTGTCTGCATTGCCCATGAACATGTATCTATACTTAACATTTTCGTAAACTAGAAGTTCTTCTAGTAACCGTGATTGTGAGTAATATAGCCATGTCATTAGCAAAACAGTCTCAAATACTGCAATAGCGCTGTTCCATTTGGAGAAAAGGAAATATACATATTGTATATGCGTGAATGTGATAACCTTGAGCAAAATCATTTTAACGCAAATGACTCCACAACCATGTATCTACCTTTTCTGAGATGTTTCGATCAACCTGCAAATACAAAAACAATATAAACTGGCAGGGATAACAATTCTTCAGGGTTGGAAATTGTTGTTGATAACACGTAGTCTTATGTAGGTTCACGAAACCATGGCCTGCTCAATAGACAATGACAATTGACCGTGCTCTGATTGGTGGACGCATAATTTACACGAAATTTCATACGATGTAGCCAAAGCAACCGGGATACGACATAACAGTCTTAATAACAGCAAGTAAAATCAAAAAATGGCAATAAAATAAATATAGAATTTTAATCAGATTTGGAAAACTCATAAAGCCAAGGAAACACGACGAACGAGGTTCTGATGGAGGATTACAATTCGATTACAAACTGTTAATACCAGGCTGAATTTACATTCGTCATTTTTATACTATTAAAGAATCAAAGGACAACCTTCATTAGTGACTACATCAACATACATTCGCAGAATGAACTTTTATGATTGTATCTTAATATTATATTATATCGCCATCGAAAAACGATTCGAGTTGTTGATCAACAAACACTATGTACTAAGTAAACGCCAAGTGACGTCACACACGAGAACAACAGCGCCTTCGATGTGTGAACATTTTATCTTCGTCGTTTTGTTTCATAAAAATTGTGTCCTGTTATTGTTTACATTTTGAAAGGAGTCAAACAAAAAATGGACCATACCCAACGTTTTACTTTAATATAGGTAAAGGATCTTAATAATGTTATATAACGTACAATATAGAATATGTTTGTTATATTTTACACTGTATTAAGTATATTAAAACGATAATATGCTACCTTACAGTACTTATGAACCTCAGAATCGATGTCAAGTAAATTTGTCTTCTGTGCGCGAATGACCCGAATTCAATTTCGTATAACCAGTATTTTTGATCCCAAACTTGTGTTCCATGAAAGATGGTGGAAACGCGTCTTGTAATAGAAAATTGTTTGTATCCATATTTGGTCACATTGGACGTGTTACATACTACTGACTACATATTTAAAAGGCGGCGGTTGTCGCTACGCGTAATGTGTAGCATGGATTGTACGTATTAATACAATGTTGGTAAAATAAATCATTGGTTTTGAATGCGTGCTGCACTTAAAGCTGTTTACTCTGAACGAATACGAACTTTATGTCCAGAGTAATATAATTCGGGAATTTTATCCATTGCGCATGTCATTTCCGTGACTTTTCCTATATTATTTGCATTATAAATAAGCCGCTAATATTGAATTGTGTATCAGGGAATAAAACCGAGCATAAAAAACGTTTCATAGTTGTATGTTATATATCAGTAAAATCACTATAACTATACCAATTGCCATATTGATTGGATATTGTAGAATTATACTTATAACTGTGCCTTTATTCAGAACTATTTAATTCTACAACATCATTTTAATCGTATACTTTCTTACTTAGGATATCAATGGTGGGACAATATCTGCAACAGTTTTCTGGCAGATGGTGAGTTTCTTTTCATAATGTCATTGATGAACTTTTAATATAATTTATTCTACATTTGATTGTTCAAACATAGCTGTTACATTGGTGATATTAAAAAAAGGAATTAAAGCGGGAGGGTCGTTATCTGCGCATACGCGAAAAGTCTCAAGCGACGATAACAACACACGCTAAAAACGTAAAGGCTTATGGGTAGACGCTTGTTTGTAAACAATGACGCGCTATGGCCATCTGACGCATACGCAGGTGATGATTCCCCCGCTTTAAATGCTGGATGTTGTTTATACTTACTTAAAAAAAAATGTTTAATATTATAAATTTAATTAATAAATAAATAAATAACGGACAGTAACATATTTGTGAAAATTAGATTATTTGTATAAAAGATCTGGAAGTTGCCATTTGTGAACTGGTTTTTTTGATATGTCGAAACTTGTCGGAAATTGTATATGAGACCTAAGCAACAAGTACACGCTACACGAGTAAGGTTTAAACAATGCACTTTAGGGAATGGGTGGCCAGGAAATGAAGAATCCGTTTAAAGGGGTGGTGGGATATACGTTGTATTATTACACAAAAAATATAACACTAGAACAATCATAATTTAGTAATAATATTATAATATTCCAGATGGGTAAGGGGTTGGCGAGAAATACCAGACTCATTTCATAACCAAAATCGGAAATGTCATTCACTGGCGAGTTTTCACACCAACTGAATAAAGTCATCTTCACGATTCACAGTCCGTGAACCATTTATACATGAACTTGCAAGACAATACACAGTACATTGTTCTAACATTACTGGCGAATTCTTGATTAGTGGACACGTGGAAATTGGTACAATTAAGATTCTGCCAGCTACGACGAAACGACGTCCTCCAGAATATATCACAAACGCCCATGATGCAATATTATTTAATGGCTTACTGTGTTGTTTACAAGATTAGACTCCCACATCATTTGGTCACATGTGAACGTTCAGATCGGGTTCTATCAAAGTCAGGTTCACCAGTACTGAACATCTTGCCACTCCATATTTAACACTTATCTATCGCCAAAAACAACAATGCCTAAACATCGCCATAAAACACCACCATCACGACATGCAACATAAACATGATTTAATGTTTGACATTCGTGACACGACTCCCCTTCAAGATGTCAATACACAGAGCATTATTCTAACGTTACTTGCAAATGCTTGAGTATGTCCCGATGGCGATACAATATTAATTAACATATGCTTAGCCACTATGACAACTTCTTTGCGAAGTTTGAATATATGTGACCTCGAGCGTGGTTCTCATCCAAGACATGTACAATTTGAAATCAAACTTTGTGACGAGCTTGGATGAGTTGATGACCAAGTGATAAAATAAAACTTTTAAACGAGTGATTATTCTATCATTTCAAAGTGTAAATATGTTACTAAATCAGGAATATTATATTTGTTCAAATGTTATTCATTCGAGGTCAATGCGTATTTCTAATGTCCATGTACAATGCAGTATATTTTACTTGTTATTATTTCAGAGTTGGGAAGACCGTCGACTTGAATGGGAATACGAGCAATACAATGACATTTTAGCGATTATCGTTCCTATATCTAAGATTTGGAAGCCGGACATAGCAATATTCAATGGGTAAGTTCAATAATGAATCGGGTTTCAGTTTGTGATATTTGCCTATCGATGCAAATCCAAGGTATCAATGTTATTGGAATTAGTTAACGTGACTGTAATCGACTATTGATCTCCATATTCACCCATTTAACACTGATTCTACGCCTTACTTATATGGATATCGTATGTTATTCATCCACAGAGAATCCCATATTTTAATCGACGAGCCGACCGCAAAATTAAGCAGCACTGGACGAGTGGATTACTCCCCTCCCTACCAAATGAAGACATCTTACATCCCAGATCTGAGATATTTTCCATATGACGAGCAAGTGTGTCGTTATAAATTCGGTTCGTGGGCCTACAGTGGGAACTACATCAATCTGACTCTAATGGATGAAACATACCCAGTTTTATTCAACGACTTCTGGACACCTAATAAATGGACAGTTGTTAACACGTGGGCACGACGGAATGCAATTCGGTACGCCTGTTGTAACTCCTTGTATTACGACGCGGTTTTCTTTATTAAGATTAAAAGACGACAAGCGTCTTTTTATGGTTCTTGTGTCGTGATTCCTTCTATTCTAGTGACGCTTATGACATTGCTAGTGTTCGGCTTACCGCCAGCTTCACAGGAGAAGATGACTCTAAATATGACAATATTATTGTGCCAAATAATATTCATGTGGATGATATTCACGACTGTCAGTCAGCCAACAATTTTGAGTTCGTATCTTCTGTTCAGTATATTCATGGTAACACTGGCGATCTCAGAAACCACTATTGTATACAACGTGTACCACCGACATGGACCAATGCTACCAATTGTAAGAAAGATATTTTTAGACGTACTGGCAAGACCACTTTGCCTCGCCTCACACAAAATGTTGAGCTACGAGGGCAGGTCACGAAGTTCACAGAAAAGGGAGAGATGTCAGGAGGACGGATTCAAAGGAGATGAAATGCAGATGAATGGGAATGACAATGTGCTTAAAATAGCACGAGAACAGGTAGAACAAAATCCAATTTTCTTCCTTTCCCTATTCTCCTATGTATTGATCTGTGAAAGAAAACCATAAACAAGTCCTGTTTGTAAATATTTTAATTAATTTTGGACGTTTACCCATTAAATAAACTTTTTTAATCCCGTTTATTTGAGTTGATAAAGACAAAATGTAATGAATTAAATATTTTACTTTTGAATTAATGCAAAGTAGAAATGGTATAACAACTCGCTATAAAACAATTTATGTTGTAGACTTGCATCTCACTCATAATTTGCCATTCTGGTGTTTTGTATAAATTACAATGTTGAGTGATATTAATTATTTATCTATTGTGTAAGGTATCCCAAAATGCTGAACATTTATTAACTAATCGGACAAGAGAATTTATTCATTTCGGTGCAAAATATTTTAAAGGAGCTTCACGCTTTCAGGCATAAATAAGACAATAACTGATGCATGATCCAAATTCATATTTCCAACATTTTATTCATATTTTCAGCAGATGAGTGATTGGAAACTGGTAGCCAATGTTATTGATCGTCTAACGTTTTTGATATTTATTACGCTGTACGTTGTTGTGATGCCCATCATCTTGTCAACCAGAACGTAGAATACTGAACACTGACCTTACTACAGTAATTGATAATCGTTATGCCGCTAGCAGGAAGCTGAGCAGATGAATGACTATTTCACCTTGTGAATTATTTGTTTCAATACAATCACACATTTACGCTTTAAAACTGCGTAAGTAACATCTTACTGTTACAATGTTGATTACATTATCACAAAAAGGAGCACGTAGACTATTGTATTCACAGTTTGATAGTCTATTCTGTCAATCTCTAGTTTAGCTAAGTTTTTCTCTTCAAGACTACAAGTGATAATGTATCCATGGATAGTCTTAATCTGATGGTATATTATTTGTGAAATCTTTGATATCTCATATTATCATTTTGTTTGTATAATACATAAAATATTTAAAAAAAGATATTTGTAGCGAAAACACTAAGTCTCAAATTTCATATCATCAAAGAATTACATTAATTTTATCATGACCGGATATTAAAAAGTCAATACAACTTAGTACATAAGTTTAAAACTTGGATTACCACCACCAAATGCAAATATAAATTGCCATGGAAATACATTTAATTGTACATACATTTATATTTAAATTATAACATTGTTAATATAGATCCATGTCAAATACAATAAGTTAGGGAAAATGTATTCCTATTATGTATACGTAATACGCACACACACGACTGCATCAAAAGTATATATATCTACTGTTACTGTTAAATAATTCACTTAAATAATATAACAATGAAATATGACAATGTGAACACGTATGTTTAACAGCATATATGATATTATCTTAAAACACCATCTTCAATTGCACGCCATACTTATTGATTCGAATTCGCTTGGCATTTGAACATGCTATACATATCTTATTCTGATTCTTATTCTGACTGCCACTTCGCCCACTCGCTATTGGGATGAAAGCACATATACTAATCTGTCGAATACGTTTTGCCGTGAGCAAAACTAGATAGACAGAGTGCATACATCAGTGAAATAGTCGAATGACAGATGGCATTATTAAGTTCAGCCAATCAACATAAAAGCAGCAATATGCCCGGGGTGTCGTCATACCTGTAACATTGTGGATATTCAAGGATATTTTTACATTGACAATCGACTGAATATAGACTATCACGATAAGATTGATTCGGCAACCTGATTCTAGATCTACATGTCAGGAAATCTGTTCATACCAAGGGTGAAGGTTGGGAACTACTCTATTAGTATAAATCGTGATTGTTGTGATATACCATATCTGAATAACACGTACAACGTACATCATTTAACGCACACTTAGTGCTATGTCATTTATACATTGAAGTATGGTTAAAACGAAGCTGAGGGTTTACGATCACGTGTTTTACTTTTAATTCACAATGAAAAAAAATGTGACTATACAAATAAACATATGTTTGTAGTATGTAAGTCTGGTGTTTCCCAAGAATCAGACTTTTTCTCTTGTAATCAATAAAAAATAGATCTGTCGGCTGATGATGCAAAAATTCAAACGGATTTCCAATTGTGATTGGAGAGTAAAATGGGTATGTTTTTAACGCACAAATGTGTAAAGTTATATCTGTTATATTGGGAATATACAACATGAGCTAGAAAGCGTAGCACCATTTGTTAACTCGGGAATTACTGTTACGAATTCTCTTCATTGGGTTATACGTTGAAAATTATACGTTGAAAACAACTACAAGAATTCTTTATGCCACTCATGTGTGAAAAAATGTGGAATACAGTAGTTCAGTCTTAAATCTATGGATTTATATGAGGCCGTGCAAAAACGTGCCAGTAAGTACAATTGTACAAACATGTGACATTTATTATAAAGAGCGTATGTTTAGGTATAAGTTGTTACAATTACAGAAATATTTGAATGATGTTATTTTTCTCAATAAATTACCCAATAATTTATCTGATCTTGAACTATGGAATTTCCGGAACTGCAACCACTGTACTTGTTTATAAAATGTGTATAATATATTGCAATTAACGAGTTTTGAAAATTGTTGTAATGGCAATTCTATTGTTCGGGAACATACAGAGCGTAGGTACAAACACCTTGCATTTTCCCCATAAGTGTTCCATTGTGTTTTAGAACACACAGCAATTGTTATTATTTAAGTTCTGTGAAGCATACATAAATAAATTCATCTCATGGTATTGCTTGTAATTTTAAGTCACATTCAGATTCCATACCCTATTGTTGAGCCATACGCTCTTATCCCATGTGACTACAAATGGGCCAATCAAGTACTCTCAAAAATACAGACATGTGTTATAAAGTATTTTAATACAACTAAATAAATGAATGTGTTCTCAATGTACATGCGTCCATTTGGCGAGTTATTGCGACGTCACGGCGTAAACTATCATTTTTACGTCGATGACACACAGATTTATTTATTATTTATTTCTGAAGATGATCAATTTCGCGCCCGGGTGATACTTCAAACATGTATTCAAGATGTTAGCGATTGGATGTCTTGTAATTTCCTACTTTTGAATGTGTCGAAAACTGAATTTGTGTTCATGTCGTCTTGGAGTTTCTCACAAGACTCGTGTCCTTTGTCTAGTATCGCAATTGGTGAAGAATTGGTTAGTGCTTCGTCAAGTGCTAGAAACGTAGGTGTCTTGTTTCTATGGAAACACACATTTCTACTATTTGTAGATCTGGATATTCCCATCTAAGAAATTGTAATTGTATTCGTAAATCATTATCCCAATCTGATACTGAAAAGTTCGTAATGCTTTCATATCTTCTCGCTTAGACAGCTGTAATTCATTACTGTCTGGTCTACCTGCTCGAAAATATGACCACATTACACACATTTTTATTAAACTATATTGGTTACCAGTTGAACAAAGAATAAAATTTCAAATTACCTTTACTAGTGTATAAATCTTTGTATGGTTTTGCCCCAAATTATCTATGTGAATTAATCGAATTTTATGTACCGAGTCCTAGTTTAAGATCTGAATTGAAGTTTCTTATTAAAACTCGTCAGATGAGTAGTAAAAAGTGTTATAGAAAGAACGTGCTTTTGAAAACTTAGGTCCTAAACTTTTTAACGAATTACCTCCGTCTGTTCGTTCTAGTCCTTCAGTAGACATTTTTAAATCCAGACTGAAAACGCACTTATTTAAATGTGCTTTTAATATTTGACTCATTGTTTATTGTATCAGCGCATTTGATCTTCACATGTTGGAATTGTTGCGCTTAATTAAATAAAGTTATTATTATTATTATTATTATTATTATTATTATTAATGTGTCATTTGTCTTGCCGTTCTTTTAATAGTGAACATCCATATCAAATATGGTGCTAGTTATGATCATTCAGTTTCATCTGAATCATTATGCAAAAACAACTATGCCATCGGTAATTGGTAGAGAGTATGATGCAAAAACAACTATGCCACCGGAAACAGGGAGGGAATCTGATGCAAAGACAACCATGGCATCGGTAACTGGTAGAGAGTC